CGAACCACCCGCCGCCATCGCTACCGGATCAGGCGATCTGGTCCGAACCGGGAGCATTTCACCCCTGCATGAGCCCTCACAATGAAATGATCCTTTGAGATACTTTTCTTTGGAACTGCTATCCTTTTCACCATAGTTCTCTTCCTAGCTTGAAAGGAGGCAATACCTATCCATTGCACAGGTAGTCCTCAACTTATGACCAGTCGCTTAGCAATGGTTCAAAGTTCTGGATGGACCTCCCCAGAGCTATTTACAACCTGATTTCAAAGTTCTGATAGCCGCCCACCCACCCCACTCTCCGATCATGTGATCACATTTGGGGCACTTGGCAACTGGCCCACATTTACAGCCATTTGCTGTGTCCCACAGTCACATGATCATAATTTAAGTTTTCTGCCAGAAACCAAAATTTATGTTGTAAGATGGGACCCGGTCACGTAGCGACATGTTTAATGACCATTACAATTTACGACTGTAATTTTGGGCTCAATTACAGTCATAAGTCAAATGTAGTTGAAACACCAGCATGGTCAATTGCACAGGCAAAGAATTCACCATGTGGGCAGTGGTGAAATCTAAAATTTGTTACTACCGGTTCAGTGGGTGTGGTTTGGTGGTGGTGGCGTAATGTGACTGGGTGGGCGTGGCCATTTTTTTTTTTTTACTTTTAAAACCATTTTTTCTACAACCTCTTCCGCGAAGAGGTTGTAAAAAAATGCTATTGTTACCATGTTTCTTATATTTTTTTGAACCCTGAAATAAGCGCTTGGCCTTATTGCCATGCGCTCAAAAGCCTGATTGGGCTTATTATCAGGGGATGTCTTATTTTGGGGGAAACTGGGTATATAAATCTAAGCGCTATTGCTATTGGAAGTTCTGTATCTGTCCTTCAAGATGCAGAATAGAAACAGCATTGTTAGTCTTACCTACTCTGGAAAGACGCAGTTTAGATTTGGTTTATCACGGTTTGATTTTAATTCAGCAGGAGCTCTTGTTAACAGGATGTGTTCCTGAGCATAAGCAGGGTGCTGAAAGAATAGAAAGTATGCAAATGGAGAACATCCCATTAACCAAGTTAAATATTCTCTTAAAATAGTTTTCTTGGATACAGGCAGACAATTAGTATATTTTGGAGCAAAAATGAGGCTTATTAAGAAGTACGTGAGGATAGAAAAACTCATTTTTATCCAAAGTAGATAACGAAGAAGAGGAAAGAGCAGAAAATTGAATAATATTTCAACTTTGCCTTTAATATTAAGTATAGCTCATCTAACTAGCAATAAGCAGGTAAGGAAGACCAACAGAAACAGAGATAAGTGATCAAACTCCAGCCATTTGTTCTAGTGGGTCAAAACCAGAGGTGCTATTCAGCAGGTTTTGACCAGTTCTGGAGAACCGGTAAATACACCTCTGACTGGCCCCACCCACATCTATTCTCTGCCTCCCGAGTCCCAGCTGATAGGGAGGAAATGGGGATTTTGCAGTATCTTTCCCTTGGAGGGAATGGAGATTTTACAGTATCCTTCCCCTGCCATGCCCACCAAGCCACGCCCATCAAGCCATGCCACCCCCACCAAACCACCCCCACAGAACTGGTAATAAAAAAATTGGAAACCCACCACTGGTTAGAAACCACCTCTCAGTAGCTGATTATGGGAATCAAACATGGCTTAGCTTTGATCAATCAAGCCATGTATAATTTCTCAACAAACAAACCTCTAAGCAACCCATAGCTTTTCAATTTAACATCAAGATTTTAAAGATATCCTATGCAATGCTGAGTCAGAAGCAAAGTTTACTATGATAGGTACTCCCAACAAAGTCTTGCCCTATTCTTTTCCAAAAAAAAGCAGGGTTTGTAAAAGTAGTGGTCCTACTTCGGGTTGGAATGATGGAAGTACTCAAGGGTAGGTAGGGAACGGCACAATTATCAAGATAGGTTTGGAATTATCTAGCCCAGGGGTGTCAGATGCGATTTCATTGAGGGCTGCATCAAGGTTGTGTTTGACCTGGGGGGGGGGCCTGTGTGGGCGTGGCCTGTGTGGGCATGGCCAGCTCGACATCACTCATGTCAGAGGCACCTGTGGTGGCACAAGAGCTCTGCCAGCGAAAGAGGGCTCCTGAGCTCTGTTTTCGGCTGCAACAGCCTCCTGCAACCCTCTGCCAGCGAAAACGAAGCTCGGGAGGGCCGTGCATGATCCTCCCAAGCTGTTTTCACTGGCAGAGGCACCGCAGGCCGGTCCTTCGCTATTTCCAGGGCAGCCACATGGGCCAGATCTAAGCACCTCGTGGGCCGAATCCAGCCCCCGGGTCTTGAGTCTGACACCCCTGATCTAGACCATTGGTTCCCATGTGGGCCCTTTTTTGTTTTTATGTGTGTGTGTCCCTACTCCAACATGTAGTAGGGCCACATACATACACATGTGTGCATCATAAAGTTTTATAAAAGTAAAAATTAAACAAAAAGCTAATAGTCAAGAAAGACTATAAAAATTGTTGTTGTTGTTGTTAGTTGCGAAGTCATATCCAACCCATCGCGACCCCATGGACAAGGTTCCTCCAGGCCTTCCTGTCCTCTATCATGGTCTGGAGTCCATTATTATTATAAAAATAGTAGAAACATAAAAAATAAAAAATAGAAATATCTAAAAAAGATATTCTGGGCTTAGAAAACTTAGAACTACATCGCCTTTGGTATGACCTAAGTGTAGCTCATAAAATCCTCTGTTACAATGTCCTTACCTGTCAATGACTACTTCAGCTTCAACCACAACAATACCCGAGCATACAACAGATACAAACTTAAAGTGAATTGCTCCAAACTCGATTGAAGAAAATATGACTTCAGCAACAGAGGGGTCAATGCCTGGAATGCACTACCTGACTCTTTGGTTTCATCCCCAAACCCCCAAAATTTTAACCTAAGACTGTTGACCTCACCCCATTCCTAAGAGGTTTGTAAGGGACCTGCATAAGCGCACCAAGGTGCCTACTGTCCCTGTCCTAATATTTCCTCTATTTGTATCTATTTTATGCATCCAAACCATGTTTATACTTATTACCTAAATACGTTCTTGACAAATAAATAAATAAAATAAATAAATAACTATAACCTTCTACCTTGCTGCTGGTCGTCTCTTTACATTCATCTTCCCCAGCACTAGAGCCTGCCGAGAGGTGGATCTTTACATCCTGTGCCCTAAATAAGATAATTTGAACCTGGTGGTGAATCAAGATGACATGAAGCATTAGTACCGCTTTATAAAACCCTAGCAATTTCACATCTGGAATATTGCAATCAATTTTAGTCACCATATTACAAAAAAAGATGTTAAGACTTTGTAAAAAGTTCAAAGAAGAGCAACTAAGGTGATCAAAGGCCTGGAGACTAAAACATATGAAGAACAGCTGCAGGATTTGGGTTTGGCTAGTGAGAAAAGAATTAGGGGTGGACATTATTATAGCAGTATTCCAGTATTTGAGGGGCAGCCACAAAGAAGAGGGGGGGTCAAATTATTCGCCTAAGCACCAGATGGCAGGACAAGAAATAATGATTGGAAACTAATCAAAGAGAGAAGCAAGTTGGAATTAAGGAGAAACTTCCAAACAATGAGGACAATTAACCAATGGAACACAACTTCAGAAGTTGTGGGTGTAACTCCATCACTGGAGGTTTTTAAGAAGAGAGTACTTATCTGAAATGGTATAGCTTCTCCACAGTGGTGGAATTCGAATTTTTTTTTTTACTACTGGTTCTGTGGGTGTGGCTTGGTGGGCATAGCTTGGTAGGTATGGCAGGGGAACGATACTGCAAAATCCCCATTCCCTCCCCACTTCTGGGGGAAGGATATTGCAAAATCTCCATTCCCTCCCCACTCTGGGGCCAGCCAGAGGTGGCATTTGCTGGTTGAATAATAACAGTAACAGAGTTGGAGGGATCTTGGAGGTCATCTAGTCCAACTTCCTTCTTCACCTATACTAGGGATTCGAACCGCCGAACCGCCAATCTTTCTGATCGACAAGCTCAGCGTCCTAGCCACCTATCCAGGCTAGTGGTTCTCCGAACTACTCAAAATTTCCACTACCGATTCTCCAGAACCTGCTGAATAGAACCCCTGGTTCTCCTGCTTAAGCAGGGGGCTGGACCAGGGGTGGGTTCTAATTTTTTTTACTACCGGTTCTGTGGGCGTGGCTTATTTTGTGGGTGTGGCTTAGAGGTCATATCAACTACGTGGGCATGGCTAGCTGGTTAGTCATTTCTGGAAGGTCCTCGCACTTACGACCAGTCCTCGCACTTAGGACCCAACTCATTTGTTTGCTTTTAACACTGATCAGCTGTAGGACAGCTCTTTGAAGGCCAGGGGCAAAGAGTTTAAACAGTTTTTTTCCCTCTAGCCATCAGCTGGGACTCAGGAGGCAGCAATAGATTGGGGGTGGGACCAAATAAAAGATAAGAATAACGTGGGTGGGGGGGTAGGAGGGGGGGAGAACCGGTTCGGTGACTGCTACCGACTCGGCCGAACCGGACTAAACCAGGAGGAACCCACCACTGGGCTGGACTAGAAACCTCTCGAGGTCCCTTCCAGCTCATTCTATTCTATTTGTCCCATGGGACAACTGTTGCTCCCCTCCCCCCCCCAAAAAAACCCCAACTAGGTTAGCAACCCATTCCATCTGGGACGCTCACGCTTGATCCAAAGTTAACCCACCCTGACTGACTCTCAGCGGCCCTCCGGAGTTCGAGACAAGAATTCCTCCCATCCACCCCCGGAGAGAGAAGCCTTGGCACCCAACGCGGCGCTCCAATTTTTCCCACGTGGACCAGCATCCCGGACAGGGCGCGGCAGGAAGGAGCCAATGAGCAACCTTCCCTCTCCCCTTGGCGAGGAAAGAGTTAGGCAGCGGCCACGCCCTTGGAGGGGGCCGGGGACGAATCAGAAGAGAGCGGGGCGGGGCCGGGTGGAATGTTGTGAAGGTGGAAGCGGAACGCTGCGCGTAGAGTTGCGAAGGCGGGCGAGGAGGCAGAAGCGGCGATGGAGAGCCAGAGCTGGACCGGCGACGCGCAATGCCCGTGATTGACGGGCGGCGGAGAGACGGGACGGCGGAGAAAGGCGGAGGGGTTGCCGCTTGCCCAGTTTATTGGTGGTTGCAAGGAAGCCGGGGAGCTCGGATAATGCGGAATATAATGGACTGAGAAGGAAGGAAGGAAGGCAGGGCGAACGGGAAAAGCTTTTAAGGTGCGCTAAGGGCACTGCGGTGCCGTTGCCCTGGGATTCCCGCCGGATTGATTCCCTCTTCTCGGGGTAAACGGGGTCTCGGAGCCTCGGAAGAACCGGACGATCCAAGGACGAGCATCAAAGCGCAGAAAGCACCAGTTTTCCGGCCAAAGAGAGAAAAGTGATAAGCGGGTTGGGGGGAAAAAAAGATAATTAAAAACCTGCCACCCACCCACCCCCCTCCGGACAGCGGTTTGAGAGAAAGGTTGGTGACTTCCAGGAGCGAATTAACTGGGTCCCAAAAAGAAGCGCAGGTGATGGGAAAAAAAATAAAAATCAACGGGGAAGACTTCTGGGAAGGTTGAGAGTTAAAACTTGTTGAAAGTCCTATCTTCAAAGAATAAGTTATATTAATAAAACAAAGGAAAACCGCAGGGGGAAAAAAAACTTGGCTTGGCTTGACTATTGGTGGATGAAGGTTTGAGTTTATTTCTTCGGGAGCAGAGAAATGTCTCATCGGACAGCACCGCAGTGCCAAGAATCTAAGAAATTTGGGACTGCAAGTGTTTCTTTGCCTTTTTTTCCCAAGAGCAGAAAACAGTCACTGTTCTTTTGAAGCAAAAAAACAAAAAGTAGGATTCAAACCAATTTTCTGAGTGCAAGAAAGGTAGATTCTCCATGAAGGATCTGTTAAGGATCTAGTATCCCGTGAGACTTTTATCTGTTACTTGTTGGATTGTCTGCTCGTCCCCTAGAGGGGTGTGATAAGGGAATAGGGCTGTGCCAGGCCAAATCAGATAGCAGAACAAAAGAAGAACCCAATATAGTCACAAACTGGAAGGGTGAGTTGATAAGATGACACAGATTTATTTATTTTTTTAAATCTCAGGGGAAAAAGATAGGGCAGTCACCAAAGATTTAAAAAGAAAAACACCAGGAAGTAGTAAAGAGAAAGAAAAACACCCCGTAATCAAACTCAGGCTGTTTACCCAGCCTGAAATAAATACGAAGTGAAGATTATATAGAAGATAAAGACTGGGGTGGTTCAGAACCACACCAAATTGTTGGAACTGAAGAAGCCACCAAATCAACTCTTAACGTGAAAAATGGTGGCGTGGTGAATTTCAAAGCTAGGGTATATCCTAAAATGGGGAGAGAAATTGGACCCTTAGAAAGTCCCCTCTGCAGCATTCTAGACTCCCATTTCTGAGGTCTGAGCTCCTGTTTCTCTCCAACGAATTTAATTCCCCCTTGTGCCTGAATAATTCACTTTCTGGATTGCTGTATCGAGCTGATTGATTTCCTTTCTAAATAAGGATTTGGTGGGTTCTGCATGAACCCATGCAGGCCAAGAAAAAATACCTGTTCGTGACTCTCTTGGCCACGTGGCTTCTGCTTGTTTTGCTTGGAGGAGACCAAATAAGACACTTTCCCTTTTTCTCCAGCAAAAAAGCTGAAGTCTTAAAGACCTGGCCTCGTTGGGCCGACGAGTTTCTTCTCAAGAACTTTGCAGATTCTGAGGAGCTCCAGAGCAATGAAAGGGGCCACAGTGATGAATCTCCCCAAAGCTGGCAGCAGTTGAAGTTGAGTGTTTACAAGAACAGCAGGTGCCGTATGGAGACTTGCTTTGATTTTTCTAAATGTAGGGAACACGGGTTCAAAGTCTTTGTTTACCCCCTGGAAGGAGGGGATCTTGTATCCGAAAGTTACCTCAAAATCATCAGCTCCATTGAAGGGTCACGTTATTACACTTCCAATCCTGAGGAAGCCTGCCTGTTTGTTCTAAACATTGACACATTGGATAGGGACCATCTCTCAATACAATATGTCCATAACATCAACGAGAAAATCCAAAGTTTCCGGCTTTGGAATGACGGACAAAACCATCTCATATTTAACCTGTATTCTGGCACGTGGCCTAATTACACCGAAGACTTGGGCTTTGACATTGGACAGGCTATCCTGGCCAAAGCCAGTTTTTATGTCGAGAACTTTCGGCCTGGTTTTGATATCTCCATCCCTTTGTTTTCGAAGGAGCATCCTCAGAAAGGTGGGGAAAGAGGCTGGTTATACAAGGCTGCTCTCCCACCCAAGAAAAAGTATCTCTTGGTTTTTAAAGGGAAGAGATACCTGACCGGCATTGGTTCCGACACCAGGAATGCTCTCCGCCATATCCATAATGGTAAAGATATTATTTCTCTGACCACATGTAAACATGGGAAAGACTGGGAGAAGCACAAGGACAAGCGATGTGACAAAGATAATATCGAGTATGAAAAGTAAGTCGACACTTTTTCCTCTCCAAAATGCCTCATGAAAGGGAGGCAAATGGTGAAGCACTCAATTTTGAATATCGTTCATTATTGTTTAATTGACTCTGCCCCAGGTTATAACAGCATAGAGTGCAGTTTTCAGCTTCAGGTATTGAAATGTTTAGGGCAAGCTCAGATGGGTTTCTAATCACTTTAGTTCTTGGGTTATAGAAATTAGAGGAATCGGCACCTTTTAAAAAATGCAAATACTACAGAGATTCTACAGTTAAAAACTGGGATATATGTGGAAAACCTTGTTTGTTTTATGTCCCCTATATAAATTGGATTTGAGTGTCATTAGGATGTTTGCTCAAACTAATAGGGCTAAATTGTCCTAGTCTTTTTCACTTTCAGAACAGACCTGGAAAATGTCAAATGAAAAGTGGCTTTGAGAGTATGTAGAATATTTCTCTCCAAATAATGAATCATAGGACTAGTAGGGACTTTGGAGGACTTCTAGTGACCCAATATTTCTCAACCTTGGCAACTTTAAGATATATGGATCTCAACTCCCAGAATTCCCCAGCCTGCCAAGATGGGGAATTTTGGGAGTTGAAGTACACACATCTTAAAGTTGCCAAGGTTGAGAAACACTAGTCCAATCCCTTGTCCACATCAGGAGTCTTTATAATGTACTATATGGAACAAACTGTTATCCAATCTTTTCTTGTCCAGGATGGTATAAGGACTCCTGCCTTTGAAGCTATTGAAGTCCATTTTTGTAGGATAAAAGACCAAGACACAAGAAATTAATTTCTTCTCCCCCCTATTTCTGAGATTTGATGCCTCCGTATTTCTGCATTCAAATGTTGGTTTTTCTCAGTATTTCACATGATTTGTAGGGCTGAAGCAATATGCATTATCCTCTGTGGTATCTAAACTAAACTAAAGGTCAGTAGAGATAGCTAAGCAATCATTGGTTTTGTTTTATCCCTTGGGATTCCCTAACAACTAAGTCTGAAGACTTCTGTGTGACTTTTAAGCTTGCATGGGACATTTACAGCACTGTAATAAAAGAGTTGTGTTAGATGCATGCATTAGTGTTTCACGCTCAGTTCTGGAGGCAGCAGCTGGTTTATAATCTTCCACTAATCTGCATATTTGATTTATTGAAATTGACGTACCTTGCAAATTATTTTCAGAAGGGAGGAGAATGTTGCTCACAGTTCATTGGTTCTTTTATGTGGTTATGTTGATCCTTCTCCTGATTTTTCTTGAAGAGTCTTCTTTTCAGTTTTTAAAGAAATATTTATCCACTTTTCAAAGGTACAGTGGTACAATGGCATTGGACTTCTATTTATCATTGTGTGTCTTCACAAATTCATTTTTTTCAGTTAGCATATTTTTTTTAAATTTTTATCCTGCCTTTATTTATTGTGTATAAATAACTCAAGGCTGCAAACATACCTTTTCTCCTATTTTCCTCAGAACAACAACCCTGTCAGGTGGGTTGGGCGGAAGGATGGTGACTGGCCCAAAGTCACCCAGCCAGTTTTTCATGCCTAAAATGAGAGGATTTGTTGATTAAGTTAGAGCACACATCTGTTGATAAGGTCATAAGTAAATCCACCCTGTCTTAACCCTTGGGTATAGGCTGAACCTGAGTACATAAATACGTGCAAGATATTTGTGTGAAAGGTTGATCAACATGTCATTAGGATAGTGATGAAACCATATATCTCATATTTTTTAAAGAATGTTTATAGAGAGCAAATAGATTACTTTTGATTGATAAAGAAAAATCCTTCAAGGGTCCTTCCGTGACACCTTTTTCTATTTTTTCTAGATGAAATATATGACAATAACTTGCATATGATAACGCACTCTTAAGATTCTGCTTTAGAAATATTTCTTACACTTTTTTTTTGCTGCTTAATCCCATAAAATAAAGGGGTGTTATATCAGCATGGCTTTAAGTTCTTGGTGTTCCGAGCATTTGATTGTTATTTTTTCCTCATTTGTCAGTCAGTCCTATAAATACACCATCTTCTGGCAAACAGAGACGGTTTTCAAGTGACAGAAAAGCAAATTGTTGTGTTGCAAAGACAATTGTTCCCTGGCTTTATTATACTGTATATAATCAAAGGGCTACCCCGCTATTTAGAAATTCTAAATTTGCCGTACTTGAACATTTTGACTCTACAAAAAAACCACCTTACTCGGAACAGCTTACATCCTCCAACGATACCTTAACAGTTCCTAGGTTCTTGGTTAGGACTCGAGCTGCTGAGCTATTAACCAGCCTCAAAGGCTGTGAATCTCACTAAAGATTAAATAATAATAATAATAATAATAATAATAATAATAATAATAATAATAATAATAATAATAATAATTTTATTTCTATAACGCCCTTCTCCCGGAGGACTCAGGGCAGTGTACAGCCTATTAAAAGCACAAAGACAAACATCAATTAAAAATAATTAAAATTATTAAATAGTTTCGGCTCAAATTTAAAACCCCCCAAATTTAAAACACCTAATTTAAAATCATTACATTGATAGCCCAGCCTGGCGGAACAGCAGGGTCTTGAGGGCACAGCGAAATACACGGAGGTCGGAGATCTTACGCATTTCCGGGGGCAGTTCATTCCACAGGGCAGGGGCTCCTATAGAGAAGGCCCTCCCCCTGGGTGTCGCCAGCCGACATAACTTGGCCGATGGCACCCTGAGGAGACCCTCTCTGGGAGTGGACTGGCCGGTGGGAGGCTATTGGTGGCAGAAGTCGGTCTCGAAGGTACCCGGGTCGTATGCCATGGAGCGCTTTAAAGGTGGTAACCAGCACCTTGAATCGCACCCGGAAGACCACTGGGAGCCAGTGCAGCTCGCACAGGAAAATATATATTTTCCCCATGCTTCCTCCACATCCTTCAACATTTCATTATTTGTTTATACTCTACCTTCATAATTTGTATAAATAGCTCCAAGGTGACTAACAGTCTTTCCTCCTCCTATTTTTCCCTCTACAACAACCCTGTGAGGTGGTTGGGCTGAGAGACAGTGATTGGCCCAAAGTCCCCCAGCTGGTTTTCATGCCTAAGGCGGGACTAGAACTTACAGTCTTCTGGTGATTGGCCCAAAGTCACACTGCAGACTTTCTTGGCTAAGGTAGGACTAGAACTCACTTGTCTCCTGGTTTCTAGCCTGGTGACTTTCTGGCCACCAGTTTACCATAGGCATTAGTATGTATGTCTATATATCTGTGCACCATTATTATGAAGTTCTCAGATAACATTCCTGTACTTCAAAGAACAGAGGTATCTGATTTTTCCCCCTAAGTGATATTTATGAAGGAACTTCTGGATTTATTACAGATTGTGAAAACAAATTTTTGAACATACAGGTCTCTTTCCAGACCCAGTGCATGTGGTATTCCCCCAAACTTATTAAAACTCTCCCTTTTAATTTGCTTTACAGAAAGAGTGCGGGGCGAATGCAGGAAAAAAAGGGCCAATAAATCAAAACCCAACATCTCAAAAGAATATCTGCCCCCCCCAATTGTCTTCAGTCCAGGAAATGAGACAAAGGGAATGTAAAAAGATGGGGGAGGGAAGGGAGATGGATTGGACATGTATATATTTATATGCATAGCAATGCATCTCCTCCGTGCTATTCTTCCGCTTAGATAGGTAGTACATAAAAATGCTGTGGGAGAGCAGATGTGAGCAGCGGATATTTGATGGATCAGGGAAGGAAGTTGCTTTATATCTTTTCTTCTCACCTTGAGAAATCTTGAGCTCTGCAGTGCTGATAAAGAATATGATTTTTGGTTTCGGGGAGAGTAACAGATGGTGAGTCATTTCCCTGATCTTCCTTTTCTTTGACACCATCCCCTTAATATGTCACTGCTCAGTTTTCTGGATGGGAAAGATAATAAATACAGAGGGATTTTTTTTTCCAGGCATCACCTCATTAAAACTCAGATAATCTAACCAGATCAGTTTCCATTTTCTTGTGTGAGTGTGTGTGACTCATCCCTTACCAGAATTCAAAGAAAATGCAATGAGTATTGTAGTGGTTTCATCAATACACATTTGATAAGATTCAATCTCAGGGGCCAGTTGGCCCAAGCACAAACATTGCTTGTGACTCCGAGCCAGATAGGTTAACTATCTTATCTCCATAAATGTGCTTAAAAAAGGTGAGAGATGTGGGGATTCAGTTTGCTTGATCTTTGCTGATTTCGTCATATGGACACAAAGGGTTCAGCCATTTTGTTAAACTACAGTTTATCTATTGGTATAACAAAGTCTTTGAATACCAGATTTATGTTTAGGTATCCATAGCTGTTGAATAAATCACTTTTGGCTTGATTCAGACAATGTATTTAAGCCATAAACCGTGGTATAGAAACCATTTGTGGTTGAGTTCGTGCAAAATGCAGAGATAAAACCAAATAAACCACGATCTGGCTCACCATAATGGGCGAATGCAGTCATTCATGCCACATTTCAGTTTCAGCCTCACTGCGGGTTTAGATAGTGTTTAAAGTTTTGAAACAATAGAAAAATCCAGGGCATGATTCTTCTACATTATTCCTATTGATCAATATTATAGAAGTGTTGTTTTGTGAGTGTTTAAAATGGTTGCATTCTATGATTCGGATAACAGTCTTGAAATGAAAATTTTGATGTGGTAAGGAAAAGCAGCTGAGGAGAAACAGTTTTGGGGTTTGAAATATTGTTTGGGACTTATTCTGCTTTGTAGATACCATCGTACTGGTGTGTCATTTTAATATATATGTAGGCAAGGGAGAATGGGTCTGCTGTGGCAGGTTCTGTCACATAAACCAGGATTTATTAGAACAAGGATTACTTTTATACTATATCTCCTTCATGAGCTGCCCAGTATTACTTTGTTTCTTATTGGAAATGTTCTGGGACTATCAAACTGCCCTTCCTTCCTTCAGAGCAATCAAACCATATTTGAAATGCCGATTAGAAACCCAAGACTGGAAAAACAATCAGA